ACCATATATATTCCAATTAACACACCTGATTAAAAAGCTATTGTTAAGACTGTTTCAGAACTTTCATCGAAATTTTATTTTGTGTTGAAATTTAGAACATGAGTTCCAAAAATATGGTGAGCAGTGACATGTGTCCACACAGATATCATATCAACCGAAAGAAAAGCAATACTTAACCACTCTGAATCTACTGTGTATGTAAAAAGACATCGATGATATGTTATGCAAAACTCTGATAGTTGATGTGGATTAAGCCTCTGTTGAATTCCTTCTGACTGTAGACCAGGGATGTGAATAGTCCTGCACTTAGACAGAACACACTGGAGAGTGGATTATCCCACCCCCACTTAGCAGCCCAGGGAAAAGCAATCTCCTTCAGGGGCTAACCTGGAGGTGTCCTTAATGGAGTTGACCATACTGGGGCTCACATGGTCATGAGGCTTACCCTAACTGCCTCGGGGAAGCCCCTGGACCAATATTATAAGCTCCTCAGTCTTACCCTGATCCCACTCTGGGAGTCCAGGAGGTGGCTATATTATATTGCTCTGTTGCCAACTGTGTTTATATGAAAGTCTTCTTTGACTTTCTGTTTCCTTTTTAAAGTGATTTACCCCAGCAAACTCCTGGGTACCATTTTGACTTGGTGGTAACGAACTCCCTCTCGAAACATCTCTGTAGTTGTCCTGTCCTTGTCTCATTTAAGGCTTAATTTTTAAAATGTAACAAAGAAAGAAAGGAAAAATAAGGCACCCTAGTGGCATAGTGGGTTACACATTGGACTATCTGATAAGTGCAATGTCAGCAGTTCAAAACCACCAGCCATTCTGTAGGAGAATTATGAGGGGTTTGTTTTGTTTTGTTTTTCATTTCTGTTTAGAGTTACAATCTTGGAAATCCATAGGGCAGTTCTATTTTGTCTAATTGGGTTGCTTTGATTCAGAATTGACTAGATGGAAGTGATCTTTGTTGTTGTTTTATAAAAACAAAACAAAACAAAAGGTACCCACTTCAGGAAGCAATGAAAAAAATTTGTTAAATAAGGATAATTAAATATGAGAAATATAGATTCTGGAATAAACAAAGGTTTTAAAATATTATCCCTTTGTTTACATATCATTTACTTTCAATCATAGAATATTAACCTTATGATAGCAGAAAACATTGCTTTTATTAAACTATTTATTTAAAAGATTTTTCTGAAATTCCATTAAAATATGCCCAGCATTATTTTAGTATTTTAATAAATATTTGGGTACCTAAATCTTAAACACAGAAATATAGTTTAAGCTTTGAAAATGATGCTTCAACATATGGTAGCCAACTACAAAGGGGGTTGGGGAGGAAAGGGGAAAGAAAAAAAAAGATATGTGACCGGGGAATAGGGCACTGACCCACCCAAGGGGAGGGTATTTGTGCTCCACAGGGAAAGAAGGACCATATTTAAAGCCAGTGGCAGAGGAATGCAGCATCTTGGCAAGGAGTGGAGAGCCAGTAGATGGGCCTGAGGGCTTGGCCCCCATACCAGCTACGTGGACAACTGACCTTCCCCCCAGAAGAATTTACTTGAGAGGATGGCACTGAAGCTACAGCTAGGGGAGAGGGGCATGTCTGATCAGAGCAAATGGGAGCACTTAAGGGGGAGGAAGAGAGAGTGGAGCACATCCTGACCCACCAGGCCTGGAGGACAACATCCCCGCTCTGAACAGCCAATGGACAGAGTAGACAATATGGCTGATCTCACTACGAGACACGCTGTCCCTTGATGGCCCAGGGCCCTAAGGTGGACAACACTGGGGACTCAGTGTCTGGACTGGCCCAGACTGACCCTGTGACACCGAGGCAAACCACTAAAAGTGTGTGGCAGAGCCACCATGGGAGCAGAGCAGGGTGCCCCGAAGGAATACAAAGGACAGACTCTGGGGCCAGAGCATGGTACCCCATCCGTCCTGACTGAAGGACACACCTAGAGATAAAAAATCAGACTTTCATCTATTTACAGGTTTTTCTTTCTTTTCAAAACTTTTTTCTTTTAATTAATTTATTCTTCTCTGGGTAACTGGTTTCCTTTTTTGTGGTCATCGCTGTGTTCTCACTCATCGCCTATCTTGCTATGGCTTGATTTTTGGTGCATATTATTATCTCTACAGATCTATCTAGAAAAGATAGACTGGATGAATAGTCTGGAGGAGAAAACAAGGGGACCAATGGTTCCGGGGGGTGGGGGGCACGGAGAGGGGGAGGCAGGGGTAACAAGGTGGTGCTGACCAACCCAGGAACAGGGGAGCAACAAGTGAACCAAAATCAGTGGCAAGGAGGGTGTGAGAGGCCTGGTGGGGACTCAGAGAGGGCAATGTAACCGAGAGAAATTACTGAAACCCAAATGAAGGCTGATCATGATAGTGGGACAAGAAGAAAGTAAAAGGAAACAGAAGAAATAACTAGGTGACAAAGGGTATGTATAGAGGTCTAAAGACTGGAATGTACATATGTAAATATATCTATATAAGAGTGTGGGGAAACAGATCTACGTGCATATATTTATAGGTTTAGTATTAAGGCAGCAGATGGACATTGGGCATCCACTCACGCACTTACTCAATGCAAGAACACATTGTTCTATTAATGTATTCCAGGATGCATACCTTCCCGACAGGATTGCTGAAGAAAAACGTGAGCATAAGCAAATGTGGTGAAGAAAGCTGATGGTGCTCGACTATCAAAAGATACAGCATCTGGGGTCTTAAAGGCTTGATGATAAACAAGCAGCCATCTAGCTGAGAAGCATCAAAGCCCACATGGAAGAAGTACACCAGCCTGTCTGACTATGAGGTATAGAAGGGACCAGTTATCAGACATCAAAGAACTAAAAATCCTATCAGTGGGTGCCCACCTTAATGACACAATCACTGAAGACAAACGTGTGCATAAGCAAATGTGGTGAAGAAAGCT